TACCCGAGTATTCGTCGTCGCTCCCATGTTGCTCGGGATGGCTGTGGCCCTTTCCCTCTTGTTGCCCTCCAGTAACTGCTTCCTGAGCGACGGCATCGATGGGGCATCAACGGAGGGTAGATCAACACCAAGCGCTACCACATGACACTGCTCTACGGCAACGGCGCACACAAAACACACCGTGCGCTGCCAAAGTTGTCCCCGTGCAAACCCTCCCCCGTAACTTGGCATACCTCCTCCACAGGCAAAGAATGAAGGCGATGCATGGGCACAGCGCAGCCGTCATCATCCTCGCCAGAACCATCACCGCCCCCCGCTGCCGCCGCCCGGCGCAGGTCGTCCATGATTTCGAAGTGCGCTTATCCACCTGTTCCGGTATTTATTTCGTTGGTACGCTGGTGAATGAAGGGGCGTGTATATTGCCTCGACTCTCTCGTGAGCCCGAAAACCCAGAGAATATGAACATGCAATAGTTGCGGGCGCACTGACAAAAAATTGCGCAGCCGTATGCACAAGAGTTTGGGCATATTCGGTCGCGTCATGTACTGTCGTTGGGCGGTGGCTCGAAACGTCGTACTCTCGCCGTCAAGTGGATCTCCGGACAAAATTGCGCACTCACTCCCGAATACATCGACCCGAATACAACGGACTAAGCATGTAACAACCAGGTGCCGATTGATGTGCTACACTGAACTGCCGTTCTTTGGTGTCTACTACTGCTGTACGCAGTGCAAAAGGTTGCGAAAGATGCAACACCGCATGGAGCGCGATTTTCGTTTTTTTTATTACTCCACGTCGAAGAAGATGCATACATTAAAGCAAAACGTTTTCGGAGATCTCTCGACGAGACAGCTTCAACGCGGCCGTTTGCTGCGCCGTCCCGCTCCATGACGTGGAGAAATCTCTCGGGGACAACCGGTTCAAGGGGTGTGGTATCTTAAGTCACCTACTGTACTACATGCTGTTGCCTCTTGCATCGACTTTGCAACGTCCACATCATGCCTCAAACTTTTGTCATACGGCAAAGAATGTAAGAGCAAGATTCTTTTTGGGCCGTCTCCCACGCTCCTGAGGGACGTCGGCGATACAGAAACCAGCCGGAACCAGTAGGACATGACATGTGTCAACCGGCCGCGTGAGTGCGGGCCCACCGAATTTGAACAAGAATTAGCCACTTTTGTCACGATTCCGAAGCGAATTGATGACCGTTTGACAGGAAACTTTGCGACATCCGAGGAAATGTAGTTGACTACGAAGGGTCGGCAACCGTTGCGTACGGTAACGCTTAGTTGCCGAGAGCGACGGCGAAGGGCCCTAGCACCTCGCTGCTGTTGGTTTGAACCAAGTCTGGATAGGCTGTAACATTTTTCAGTTTTTCTCCACGCACCCAAAGACGATTGAGCCCGTTCCTTCCGCACCACGTAGCCAGGTGTATGTAGCCACGTCCTTGCACCCTAGCGAGGAGCAGCACTCTCCTGGTGGGCTCCACTGCCTGCGTTTGCGGGGCGGCGTGGTGTCATGCCCAGGGGTTTCATATGNGCTATGTAGCCACGTCCTTGCACCCTACCTAGCGAGGAGCAGCACTCTCCTGGTGGGCTCCACTGCCTGCGTTTGCGGGGCGGCGTGGTGTCATGTCCAGGGGTTTCATGTGTGTATGCGAAGCACGTTTTCTGGCGCGAAAACCCGGCGCGCATAGCGGACAGATTTTATATAGGAAATTTGGGAGTGATCTGCCTATGGTTATTATATATATGTCATAGTCTTTGGGGGGAGCCATTCCGGAGGGAAGCAGCCAGACTCAACGATCGCCGCGTGATCAGCAGAGAGCGAAATTCCCACAGCAATCTGAGGGGGCTAGGATACCTCTCAGGAGTAGCAATTCCCTTTCTCGGACCAGAAGCAGTGCCATGATCGGGAGCTATCTGATACTGGCTGATTCCACGAATTAGACCTCCACCGATACGTGCTAACGACTCGTTACATGGTGTCCTATCCGTGAGCATGCGCTCACAGGCGCGTGTAAGTAGCTGTGTTGTATGTTGTCTGTCGCTCTTTTCTTGGCTGGACTGCGCGGCTGCTGCCATTCCTTTTGCGAACATGAGATTCCATTGTCACCAAGATGAACGACTCTTGCGAGCTTGTATGCATGTATGCGCACGTTGTACGTTAGTTACTGGTGCCATCTCTTCCATCTCTACCCGGGAACACGCCGCATGTGCGTGTGAGCAACTCTGCAGTATGTTCGCTCCTGTTCCTTTTGCTGGCTGACTCCCCCCGGTATGTGCGCCCTCTGCATGTTGTCCGTCTGTACTGCATGTGCGTGGGAGTCGCTCTCTCTGTTGTACATTGCACAACAGCAGTGGGTTCTTAGTTCAGTCTGCTGTTGTCCCATTAGCGGAGGCATTGATTTTTGCTGAGGCGAGCAGCCTGTGAGCGCATCCATCTGCATGCATTGACTGCATCACCGGTGTTCGCGGGAGGCCATCTCTTTCTAACCCGCCCCCAGATTATTGCGTCTCTGCTGGGACACGTGGGACGGCCGTTCATTTGCATGCATCGATCGCGCATCACCGGGGACGCTGGTTCCCGGGATGCCACCTCTAAATTCTAAACTCGCCCCCAGATGATTGCTTGCTCCCATGGGACACGTTGTGGACGGTCATAGGTGGGCGGTACCAGAGCAAACGTACTCTGCTAGGCTCGCACCCCCTTGCTGTTGCCGCCTACTCTGAGAAGCCAAAGAATTGATGAAACAATGAAATAATTGAGCGTGATCGCATGGAAGGATGGTGCGAGCTAGCAGTTGTGTTGTGCGTCCGAGTCTCCCAGACCAGGTGTCCCTCGTATGCCCTAGGGTCCGTGCGTTGCCCGCCGCTGTCTGCCCTCGAGCCCGTATATTGCCTGCTACGCGCGCGCTAACACCCTTGCCGCTCGTCGGTATTGTCTTGTATTTCTCTGCGCCCTCGGTGCATGTATCTCGCCTGTAGTGTTTAGTATCGACGGTATAGGCTATATGTGTAGGTAGTGTTTTTTTGGCACGTTATTTGCTCCTTCACCGGGGGTCTTTTCTCTTGCACTCCCAGGGCTGTTTTTGCTTATTTTACGCCGCTACCGTCTGACCCGAGGCTGATGTCGCAATTTGTTCTCCGGCCACTAACTACGGTCTTTGTCCCTTGACACCGCGTGCATATACTAAGCCGCCCGTTTATTTACCGTCGGCCACTGCTAGTTATTTTTTCGGTGTTTTGCTGTTCTTCCTTTTTCTTCTTGTGCTGCCTTTTTCGAGCCCTGTTGCCCTGAGCTGGTTGCATTTTAACACCTACATCCCGCCTGCACCAGCGACCACCGCACCGCCGCAGCCCGCTTTCCCGCCGATCTTCACATGATCCTCAGCCCCGTCGCCGATCTCCGTCGCCCCATCATTAGCCCCACCGTCCACCGCAACAACGCCGCCCCGTTCGTCCCCGGGCCTGCCGCCGCCGCCGCGGCAGCCCACCAGCGCCGCCACCCCCGCTCCCTCGCACCCGCCGCTTTCGAAACGAGCCGTGAAGGAATTGGGACGAGAGGACACGAGGGTTCACGGCCGCACGCGCGGCGATGGAGTGCGGTTCATGGAAGAACAACAACAACCGCCATCCGGTGGCGACACCGCTCTCCACCACCGTCTTGGTCTGTTCGCGATGATGGACAAGGACTCCCTCATCTCGTCGCTCGCCACTCGGGAGGCCGTGGATCAAGGACGCCGCGACCTGCCGCCCCCGCCGCAGCCGGACCCGAGTCTTGGAGGCCGTTGAAGCGGGGGGCCTGTGGGAGCTGGGGGGCCCGTGGATTCTGGGGGGGTACGGAGACCGCAGATGTTCGCAACGATGTTCGCCACCCGTGAGGATGTGGACGCCCCTCTTCGCGCCAAGCGCCCGCCCGACAAGATGCCAGACCTTCCTCACTGCCTCGCCAGCGACCTCCCCGTGCCGAAAACGTTCAAGGAGGCCATGCGGTCTCAGCATTCAGAGTTGTGGAATGATGCAGTCGATCGAGAGTTTTTCGGTTTTTGGATGCAGGAACTTTTAGTCCGGTGTAGCAACCAGTAGAGAACGCGATCAATGCTAAGTGGGTTTTAAACTGTAAGGCAGACGAGTACGGATGGCCGACGAAATTCAAGGCAAGACTTGTAGCGCGGGGGGACATGCAGAGGGCTTCGATTGATTTTGGAGAATTGTTTGCACCCACCGTATCAGTGTCTAGTGTGCGCTTGTTGGCAGCATTAGCGTGTGAGCAGAATCTTGACTTGTGCCATTTCGACATTCAGCAGGCTTTTGTGCAGTCTGAGCTTGATGAGGATGTTTTCATGCGCTTACCGCAGGGGTGTGGTAGGTTATCTGGCTTGATCGTGAAGCTATGCAAGAGTCTGTATGGTTTGAAGCAGGCATCACGACATTGGCATTCGCACCTGACGAGGTGTTTGTTACTTTCAGGTTTTTGTTGCAGTGTCTGGCGGATGCATGTGTTTCTCGATTGATGGAGGAGAGACGTGTGATCATGATCATGGTGGTCCACGTGGATGACATTTTTGCTGTAGGGCAGAAGGAGAGGTGTGACAAGTTTGGCGAGGACCTCAACGAGATGGTCCCCGTGAAAAACCTTGGAGAGTTGAGGTGGTACTCTGCGTGCTTTTACGAGAGAGACGTAGAGAGAGGGCTGTTGAGGATTTCGCAGCAGAGGTTTGCCGAAGAGTTGGCTGCAGAGTACGGAATTGAGTGGGGGAGGAGTGTGCCCTTGCCTGTGAGCGTGAAGCTCACCGACTTTGACGAGAACGAAGCGTGCGCTGATGTCCCTTTTCGCGAGTTGGTAGGATCTCTGATGTGGTTGGCCACTCAAACAAGGCCGGACATCGCGAACGCAGTACGAGCAGTAGCGCGGTATTGTGCATCTCCCAAGATGGTGCACTGGAAGGCAGCACTCGGTATTTTAGGGTACGTACGGAGGACGAGTTGGATGGGGATTACATTTGAGAGGGGAGTGGTGACTGGGATGAGCATGCAGGTGTTTGTGGATGCCGACTATGCAAGCAAGGCGACAGACCGTAGATCGGTGTCAGGAGGGCTAGTGATGTGTGGGGGAGGGTGTGTGACTTGGTTTTCGAGGACACAAAAGTGTGTCACGCTTTCCACCACGGAAGCAGAGTATGTGGCAATTGCCGATGTCTTGAAGGAAGTGTTGTTCCTGAGGCAGGTGTGGCGTTTTATGTTGCCAGATGCAGGTATGCCGTGCATCCCGGTGTTCGAGGATAATCAGGGAGCGATTCAGATTGCGCACAACCCGATCACGAACTCCAACTCGAAACACATCGATGTACGACATCACTTTATCAGGGAGCTGGTAGAGAGGAAAGAGATTTCAATTACTAATGTGCCGACGCCATTTCAGCATGCAGATTTCTTGACGAAGGCTATTAGCAAGGAGTCTTTTGCGTTGCACCGTGACTTTGTGATGAACTTGCAGTGAAGGAAGTGTTTTGGGGTCGATTCGTATTCTGTAGCGGAGAGAGGAAGAGAGAGACGAGATTGGACAAGAGAAAGGGAGAGTCTGATGAAGGTGGTAAGGGTGTTGGAGGTGTGTCAAGATTTGTCTTGATTGTTTTGGAGTTTTGGTTATGTTGGAATTTTTCTTGTGATTGACTTGGGAGAGTTCTTGCACGTTTTGGGGAGGATATTGGATTGGATGCTTTGAAAATTTTCTTGTTTGTTTTGGGAGGGATGATAAAAGAGGAATTTGGTTTTTGCCGAAGCATGACGATGCATACGAGCAGGGGGGCTATTAGATATATTGGGGGGTACTCGTAGCATAGTATGACGGGTAAGATCTTCAGTACGTACGTACGGAAATTGCAGTGATGAGATGCGGAGGAATCAGAGAGATCCGTTTGGTAGTTTGAGCGAGATGAGCGTGATGCGTGCTTGATGCCGTGACAGATTTACGAGCACGAGCACGCCCCCGAACAATACAACACGTTTTCCTTTACGTCTCTCCCCTACCACGGCCCGTCATGACCCAGCTGCTCTACACTCCCAACACACAGAACTGAGCCACCCGAATTATCGATCATGGTGTACCTTTTTCTATTTTTTTGCGAACGTCTGATCCTTAACCTGACCTTGCGTTATTCCCTGCGGCGATCATCCTTTGTCCGACGTCCCTTCTTCCTCCAGTTAGCGACCGTTGCAAATGCTGCGCGAACAAGATGATATCACTAAGCTATCACCTGCTGCTCTACACGTATTAACACTAACCGTTTCTTTTGCTTTATGTTTTGTACGTTTGTACGCTGCGTTTTGTCACATCATGTTAAACAGGGTTTTCGCACGATTGAGAGCGAAGTTTCCGATTGAGAGCGAGAAAAACAAAACGAAATTTGGGTCCAGACGCCTCCCGTCATTTCTCGGGAAGCAGGGGACGGGCTCTTCCAAAAAGCGGCGCAAATTGAAGCTCTCTTCAGCAGCTTCGCGTGCATATGCGTGTCACTGCGATCGGCTGCAGCAGCGAGGAGCTACGCACGTTGCTAGATTTCCCCAGATTGGCTATTCCTGCCCGAAACTGTTTCAGGGCGCCGTCGCCTGGCGCGGTAGGCCCTCCCGTAGCTTCTGCTCCGCGGTGTAGCTCCACAACGCGAGACACCCGTCGCCAATTGTTAAACCATTTGTCTAGTCAGCGCTGACTGCAAAGAACATAATGGTGCTTGGGAAAGTGAGTAGCCGAACCCGTGCGTGAAACTTTTTGTCGCCAATTGTTAGACCATTTGTCTGGTCTGCACTGACTTGGATATTGAGCTTGGGATTCAGAGCAGGGATCTCCGGGGCCGGACCCCTCGCCAGGCGCTGACTGAGAAGAACTATGACCCGGGTATCGGCTTGTAGCTATGGGCAAGCCCTTCCTTCAAGCCGCACAGCAAGCTCTACCTCTCAGCAGTAGAAAAGCTACATCGTATCGCACGATCTCGCTCTCAATCAGATACTTCGCTCTCAATCGTGCGAATATGTTGTTGTTACCGTTTATTTTCACTAACCGCTTCTTTGGCTTCATATCTTGTACGCTTGTACGCTGCGTCTTGTCACCACATGTCACCGTTGCTTTTTGGTTTATATGCGACGGCTTCCCCCACTCGCTCCAACGATCGCCGCAACCAGGACCGCTCGCGCTCTCGCAGTCGGGAGCAGTCGGGGAGGGCAAGGGAGGCAAGCTTTCCACACCCCTCGCGCTCTCGCAGTCGGGAGCAGGCGGGGAGAGCGCCTCCACTTGGTACGCCGCGAGCACCCAACCGTCTGTATTTTTTCACGTGTGTTGGTTTTTCAGTCTTCTGTTTCCCGCGACGCCTGGCGCTGGGTGCTTGTAACTAACTGTTCACGTCCCCTGGTGCTGGGTGTTTCCACTCTGCTCAATTTGTATTACTATTTTTCGTGTTTCTCAGTCTCTCGTTTCTCGCGTCGCCTGGCGCTGGGTGCTTTCACTAACTAGACTATATTCAATTTGTTATTGCCATGTCGCGTTCTAGTTTTTTTCTGCACCAGTTCCTCTCACACCCTTTTCGTGCGTACGCTCTGAGTCCCGTGCTTCTGGCCGCTCTTGCGACTTTTGGCCAGAGCCACTGGGCACGTCGAGCGCTCCTTTAGACGCTTTGGGAGGAAACGCACGCCTCACGTCGTGATGTTCTTTTCTTTGTTTTTGTTACCACCCATGTTCCACGCCGTTGGTGTCCCGCTAACAGCGTGGCTCCGCCAGTCTTTCGTGTTTCATCGTAGGTGCCTAGCAACTCCTTGTCGTGTTCCTTACATGTCTCGCCCTAAGCACTTTATCTACACCCTGAGTGCCACACGCGTATCCGCACCGGTCCTGGCGCTCCCAATCGCGTGTGCGTTACCGGTGGAGTGGCGCGGCCTGCGTCACACATTAAACGTACGTTCTAATCCTAACCCAGACCCCGCGTTGCTATATGCGGTTATCGTCCGTTGCCCGTCACCTGCGCATGCTCAGGCTACCGCTCCGCACTTTCCTTTGTTTCGTCGTGGGTTATTACCACACGCGCTGTTTTTTTTGCACACATCGCCGAGCAGTTACCTCACCGACCGACCCTAACCCTCCTGCGTTTTTGCGGTGAGCTCTGCCCGTTCCGTGTCCCCTGTTTATTTTCGTCGACCGCCGAATGTACACGCATTGCATCACAACAAAAGCGGCAACTGCGGTTGGTTGCTTTCCGCAAGGGGGGATATCGCGTGACCGTCGCAGCACAGTTTCCCAGGGACCGCGGAGTAGACCACCCCACGCTCGCAAGCACAAGGTTCACACACCGACGAATGTTAAAGAGTGCAGGCTCAATTTGATCAACCAACCAACTCTAACACTAACAAATTCCCTCTCACGTTTCTTCCGTTGTCTGCTGTGTCTGTGTCGCTGCGAATATTCAATAAGCGCGAATATTGTGTGTGACCAGCTTACTGACACAACCGGCTAACTCTAACACTAACAACTTCCCTCTCACGTTTCTTTTGGTGTCTGCTGTGTCTGTGTCGCTGCGAATATTCAATGAGCGCGCACATTGTGTGTGACCAGCGTGCTCACACAACCATGCGCTTGTCCGCTGCCTACCGTTTATTTGCTCGAGTACTCTCCCACGCACTGCGCGTGTGTGTGTGTCCAATCATGTGGCACGCGTAGTCCGTTTTCAATCCTGCGAAAATAGCATGCTATCATCCAGTTGTTTTCCAGTAGATGTGAGTGTACCGGGTACTCCACGCCATTGCATGGGCGGGAGTTTCTCCTACGTGCGAAGAACGTCGCAGATTTACCATGTATTTCTGTAAACACTCATTGGATGTCTTCAGCAAGGAGGGATGTCCCGCGGCGCAATATCACTGTTCCTACACCGTGAATCATTGCCTTCCGACTGGGGGGGGG